TGGCGGGTAAGGACCTTGTCCTTGATGTGGTTTTTTGAAAGAATTAAAATAGATAAAGGTGAGGAGTTTCACCCTAGTTTCCCCATAATTTGGTTCTCTTGGACCCTGCTTCCCAACTGGATGCCACCACCTGCTTCAGAGCTTTTCAGCGTTACCATACGAGAGATGTGGCTTGAAGTAGCAGGTTTTTTTCAGTAACTCTTATGTTAACACAGCGCAATCTGACATTTTTCCTCAGAATCTGGAAGGTTAAGGCAGTGAATGGAAATCCCCAAAGTGTGAACACAGTTAATTGCTTCTTTCTTTCCTGTTGCATCAAGAGCCATAAATCCTAACAATACTTCTAAATGCATAATGACTTTAAAAATGTTAATTCTAACGATTAAATTGGTTCTCTCAAACACCCCCATACAGTTTCTACCAGTAGGGCAAGACGGATGACCTTTGGTTCTGGTCTCCATCACTGTTTCACACTGTGGGAATGACTCGGTATGAGTGAAACTGTAGGTGATACTGGATTAAGCCCTCTGTCTCTGACAGCAGCGCTGGGCTGTGGTTGTGTGCCTGATAACTGCCTGTATCTGCGAAACGTAGACGCCACCTCGTCAGCTCCAGCTTTGGAGAAAATCTTAATTGCAAGAATAACTGTGAAGAGACAAGGAAACTTCCTTATGATTCCTCAGCAGGGCCATGTCACCAGTCCTAGGGTGAGGCAAATCTCCTAAATGCCACAAGAGAAATCTTATTTAAGCATAAAAATCTGCTTTTTTCTTCATTGCCTCTTGCCAGTGACCACTGCCAAAGCCCTTGGAGGAATGCAGGATTAAAAAAAAAAAAGAAAACAAAAGCCTATTTATGTAAACACGGACTGGACTGACACACAAAGTAAAGATTCAAGGTAACAGCCAGTAGCATCTCACAGGTAAAGACAACCACAGAAAACCTCACTAACCGGCACCGGGAACAACGCCCGGCATTGTCCCCCTGCACAGAGAGCGAGGGCTGCCAGCACCCACATCGAACCCAGAGTCAAGCAGGCAGGCACATGACGGTTTTCAGCACTAGCACCTACTTGCTGTGTGACACTTTGCAGGGCAGGTGACTTTATATAAAATGGGCATAAAAATGTGCAAGCCCTGAGGAAGGTTCTGCAAAATGGGCAGCTGAAAAGAATGAGGGAATCGCCAGTCATTCCCCTCTCCTCCTAGCTTTCCGCAAAAGCCCATCAGTTTTCCCTAAATAAACTATGCCATCTGCCAGTATTTCCTACGGTAGAATCACACATAAGATCAAAATTACTCACTAAAAACTCATCCCGGATGAAGAACTTGGCTCTTGTGACTTTGGGGTCTTCTCCTGCATCTGGTGTTGCTGTTCAATTAAAAATAGATGACATCAGAAACAGGAAAAGCAAACAACCATCTACTTTTCATAATAAAAGATTTAATAAGGAGGAAGTAGTTCTTCAATACAGAAATTAAAATGTTAAATATCCACAGGAGATTCCCGACAGGCAATTCTAAAACGGAAGGGCACTGTAAAACCTGACTATACATTTAACATATTTTAGGAACCTGAAAATTGCTGAAATCGTTGCAACAATGTCATTGGGCATATCACAAAGAGGCTTACTCACATCCACAAGTTTGTTCATATAGATGTAAACCAAGTGGGAGTTAGGGTTTAACTTTTAGCAGAAAATACGACTAGAAAAAGCAGCTGAGCTGTTCAGCTTCTGCAGCAGAACAGAATCTCCTGAATAAAGCTTCTGCAGGCAGGAATTTGGGTTTAAAAATGGTTAGTCCCAGACTACACTTGAAAAAAGTAATAGCATCAAAAGATCTTTTAATATATATATTTCCAGGCCCAAGGCAGCAGAATACTTAAGATATACTGCCCATCGAGAGGCCTCAGACTAAATTCTTGTTGAGCAGGAGGGTCACTGGTCAGTACTAACCGTTTGTAGGCAGATGAAGTCATCTCTATCGAGGCCATGCAACAACTATATTTACTGTAAGTGTAAAAACCAATACAGTGAAGAGATAGCCTATTCATTTCCCTTCAGTGTGATTTCTCCTCATCTAAGATACCAAATCAGACGCCTATAAACATAATAAATTAAAGGGCAGAATTTATCAGAATACGGAAACATATTTTTTACTCTTAACTATAGTACTAGGGGTAAACACAGAGCAGCAGCACAATCAGCAGCATCTTACCAGTTCAGTGCTGCTGTCCTTAACTAAATTCAGCTGAAATTAAAGAATAAATTAATAACTACAGCTTAAAAACAGAGCGCTGCTTCATGTGTGAATATTCTGGATCTCTCTGGATATCCACTGTGAAATCCCACTGAGAAACACCAAAAGCTACTTTATTCTGATAACTGGCTTACTATAAAAAAATGTTGAAAATTTACCCAAACTCTGTATATATGTAGGTGGTGTATGTTTGGGAGAGGGACATTTGGGTGATGGCAACAGAAGATTTCTTCTGAAAGCCCTCAGCATTATAAAACTGGTACCAGGTGAACTCAGATTTTAGGGCAGTTTATTTATCCTCTCCACCTGAAACTCAGCATCACACTCCTGAAATTCCAGCCCTGAATGAAAGCTGAAAATAGCTTATTACCACTTTCACTTCTGTAACCCAGGCTGTTGTTGATGGTTAGCGGAGAACGAAAGCCTTTTCTGACAAGTGGCTGCAAGCACTACAGTGGGGTATCACTCAGGTAAGGCAGAGGCTAGCACAAGTCAGAAAGGGCAAGTTTTTTTACCACTTTTGCTAGACACACATCTGAGATATGTGGGAAGCCCTCTGCCTGGTATAAAACAGGCATAATACCAAAGTTTACTCATGCAATATGTTATCGCGGTGCAGGAATCATTGTACTCCTTGAAATGATAAGAAACCAAACCCATGCTAATCACTCCATCGTCACAGCTCTCTCTTGTATTTATTGATGTGGTTTCCCTCCATTAAAGTTCCCTTGCTGGTCTGCTGGGCTTCCTGTCAGTATTTGCAAAAGCTGAAGTTTACAGTGTTGAAGGATGCAGAACGGCTGCAAAATAACTCTAACAAATCCCTACCAAAGTCCAGCGCCGCAGGAGGCCCAGGTAGAAGCATTTGGCAGGGGAGAGACGCGTCCGGCAGCTCTGCTTTCCTGGGACTGCGGGGTGCTCCCAACCCGGGGAAGGTAGCCAGAGCCCCTTCAGACCCTGCCCACGCTGCGGCACCGCCGAGCTACCTGCTGCCAGCACGCTCCTCACCTGACTATCGGTTCGCCTTGAGGAACAGTGCAGGCTTGTGAGTTTGTGTGTGCGTGCCAGACACAGACAGACAGCGACTACGGGCTAGGCTACGGCATCAGGTCCAAGCCCTGCGTGGTGAAAAACCTTACCATCCTCAGGTACAGTATAATGCGCATATTCAGGAAAGTAATCTTCAATTTTTGATTTCCCTGCCAAGACTTTTTCAGCCAGCATGTCCTGTTTATTCAAGAACAGAATGATAGAAATGGTCCGTAACCACCTGTCAAAAACAAACCAAATGTTTGTGTTATCTCTGACACCTTTATCAAGGAAAACATATCACTTCAATAGAAAATTTACCGGCTATCCCTGCCTGGACAGAGAGTTGAAGTAGTATGGAATATGCTTCAACAGAAAAAAAAGATGACCTAAATTACTGTTTCGACTGGGTTGCACCTGTGCCGGTGGGTATACTTGTAGGATCTGTAAATACATTTATAAAAACTACAGTAGACATCGCTGAAGGGAGCGGTTTTCAAATATTGTTTTCTAAATCATCCTTTTGATATCAAGTTGGAAAAATGATGACATTTCCTAAAAGCACCGCAGTCCAAAACCAGACATTACTGTCTACTTTGTTCCATTTTGCTGAAGGAAAATAAAAAGGCTGGAAAGCTGCCTTCCCTCAGGCTGCTCTGTCTTAACTACTGTTCACCCACACAGATAACCCATCTTTTAGGGTGGCCTGTATGACACCCGATGAATCAAAAGAAAATAATCTCTTTTCTTCCCCAATTAATACCTAGCCATCACTGTCATGATGTGCTTTTGGGACGTGTGTTTACCACTCTTCCTCACTCCGCCTTCCATCACTTCTCAGCACAGAGCATCCTCGTAGGTATGTACTGAAAACTTCATTACCTTATGCTGGGTATCGCTTTTACTTATTCTCTACCAGGAGCCTATTGAGATTGCTATTTGGTTACATATCTACAATTTACATGCACTGTGGCAGAATGGCAATTTACTGGCAGTTACAATTAGACTAGATCTGAAATATCATCCCACGAGGCAGAGAAACTGCGCACTCTCAAAGAGCAGTCTTACGAGAGCGGCTGCCCACAAGGGTACCGAGTGCAGTGCCAGCCGGTGAATCGAATGCATCGCCAACAGCTCGTGGCTCCTGCTGCTGCATTTGAGGAGGAGACTAAATGTAATGTGGAGGATGCTCTCAGTCTCGGCCAAGCAGCGCAGTGACGCCAGGAAGGGGTCTCCCCTGCTTCCTTCGTGGCAGCCGGCATGGGGAGCTTGCCCTTTCCAAGCTGTCCCCATGCCCTGCATTGTTTTGGCAGCAGCAGCGGAACGCCGTGGGCACCATCCCTGCGCCTGGGCCCCACCGGGGAGGGGTACGCACTGCAGGGGCAACCGGCGACCTGGCCCTACCTCGACATCTTCTGAATAGGCAATCTGAGCATCTTGTAAGGGGAGTCCTATTTTGTAAGGAGTTGAACTGTAGCTAAATTGGGGAGGGTGGGTGGGAAATGACGTATGTTTTACCTATTATTCCAGATACTTTTGAAAAGGTCCAGGGACTCCCGTAGTCTGTTCGTGTTATTGTCTTCCCTTATTACCATGTTGTAGCTGCTACAAGCCACAACGAAGATGATAGCCGTGACATCTAGGCAGAGCACACGTAAGAAAGAAAGAAAGGAGAGAGAAAAGAACATCTCCGTTATCCCAGCACATCCTCCGTGGGGTAACTTTGCCATTACTCCCCAAACTGCCAAGAATAGCCGAAGAAAATACCTGTAATAACTGGACTCCTCTATTAGTGACACACTATGTGTGAATAGGAATACTAAGCTGCTCACACCCCAGAGAATAAGTTCGAAGTAAAAATGTGGAATATTTTTACTTACCATTAAAGCATTGGATCCATTTTCTTCTCTCATCTCTCTGGCCACCTACATCAAACATGCTGTTAAAAAGCCATAGGATGTTATATCACTTATGTGCACTAGGGAAGTCACACGAAGCATGCAGCACGAGGGTTCAGTTTAAAAATCTGACAGCCTGAAGGACAGTGACAGCAACATACTGCCTGAAGGGGAGAGAGAGCTGCTGATGTCGCGCTGCACATCGGAGAGCTGCAGAGCTCCGCCTGCCCCGCTCTGCCAGGAGAAGGCTACTGAACCCGTAAAATGAGAAATACACTCTTTTCCAGGGCAAGTGTTGGCCTTTCCAGCCCACAGGAGGGCATGTGGCATGTAGGGCTGGACCTACTGTACCGTGAGCAAGGACAGGTTTCGGCCTGTTTTGAAGGGTGGTGGGGAAAATGCGTCTCTATAAGGAGGAAGACATGAGGGTGGCTCTGCCCTGTCAGCGCTGCCACCTTTCTGGGCAAGAACCAGTGAGTGGAGGCAGCCTGACAGTGGGTGTTTGATAGAGACACAGCGTAAAATCTAAAAAATCCAAACCAAGCAAAAAAAACCCAACAAACCTCAACTCCCACCCTAAACCTTCTATACCAAGCATACATGAGCACAGACATTTGAATTAAGTTGTTAAAAATTAGTATGATATTTATGAATTATTACTAATAGACTTACTGGAAATTTACTTTATCTACTTGAAATCTTGTTTCAAAAATCCCTGATGTCAACACTCTGCATCTTAATAGGTCCTGGAAATGAGAACACAGCAGGTGATTAGCAACGTTGTTTTCTAACCCCATTTTGATTTCAAAAGCATGGAATATTATTTTCCATGAAAAGTCTTAAATGTTCCATTTAATTACAGTTCAGACTTGTTGATAAACCTGCATTTGTCCATCCTGACACAGTGGATATACACAAACATCATCTCTGCATTTGGTTTGTGCACACTCAGAGAGCAGGAGACCCTTTACAGATTCTCCTTCCTGCCCACCGAAACCTGTTATCGATGGTCATACAAATTTGTACGTGACATGTATAATGAATTCTGAAGTTACATAAAACTAAGAAAAACGTTATTCATGTTGTAAAGTCAAGTATTCAAATGTTAGAAAACTCCAGATTTACAGTTACCCAGGCAACCTTAATTCTGTCCTCTTTTGTACTGAACGAGACAGGAATCCTATCGAAATAATAGCTTGTGACTGAGTAATTAAAGCTCTATTACAGAGCACAGGGGAACAGAATTTAGGTTGTATGTAAATCTGGCATTTCTTATTTTTCAAACTAGCAATACTTTACAACTTAAATAACATTCTTTTAATAACAAAAAACCCCAACGTTCCTAGATTCTCAAAGGAAGTAGGCAAAAGCAACTTATGACGCGTACCTCAGACAACTATCTCACAGTGCGCCATCGCCAGCAGCATTTTTAACCTTGACTACCCAGCACTGCTGCTTGGGCAAAACTACCTTGACTACCCACTCTGCTTGGGCACAGAGCAAAATCAGAAGCCAGAGAAAGCCACCGGCCACCTGATGGGGACGGACGCCCCCAAGAGCAGCCCCGCTCTCGGCACGGCCGCCGGCCTGGGGAGCCCTCCCTTCCTGGGGCAGGGAAGGGCCGCTCGCTCCGGCTCAGCTCTCCTTGCCAGGCGGCGGCTGTGGAAGTGGGGAGGGAAGGTGGCGGTCAGTGCTGCAGAGTCCAAGCACCGCTTGCCTTTTCCCCCTTCCCTACCATCTACTGCTTCAAGTACTCTGGTAGCTGGCAAACCTCGGCTGCTTTGACAGCCACCATGAACTTGGCTGAAGGCCACTTGTTTAACTATTTTAGTTATTTTACATGTTACTGCCATTCTCTGTCGCTTTCTGACATTTATTTGTTATTGGAGCCAGTCATTGTTTTGGGATGGTGCAAAAAAAATGGAAGCAAGCAAGGGTCAAACCAAAAGTAGGGATTTTTACCAGTTGTCCTACCAGCATGATAAAAACCCAAAAGCAAAAGAGAATCCCTCCTTTAGAGCAAAAGTTTTCCTCCTGCCAAATACCAAAGGCCTCTTCTGATCTTTGGAGACACAGAGCGTTTCTTCCCAAAGGAAGTATCAGGAAAAATTTCTAGGTGATGACTGACTGCTCCAGGTAGGGAAGGGCCTCCCAGGAACAAAGAGGCCAACACTAACATAAAGAATGAAAGCAAAAATGAGGCTCTGCTTCATTGACTTCTCTCTCCAGCTGAGCAGTATCGATGCTGAAATCAGACCATGAGGTCTAGACGGAGTAAATCCCAGTGCTACTGCTTTGGTCTGAAAATGTCTTGAGCGCTTTAATAATTGATCCTATATTGGTCAACTATACAAGTTTCACCTTATAACACAACACATACTACTTTTTACTGCCTTCTGTTTCAGGATACGGTCAGAGTAATTGGACAGGCTTGTGCTTATAGACCTGAACTAGGTCTGAAGGCACAGGCTCTGCTCCGCATGCTTCCTCGTGTGATCTCTGGTAAGTCACTTCATTTCTCTGAATTTCAGTCCCTGATTGCACAATGAAATTCGGCAATTGTATTTTTTCAAGGGCATCCACCCATTGTACGTCTTGTGTGGTTAGACTGAATTATCCAGTGCAGGGATTCTCTTCCGTCACCTGTATTTGCAGTTTATGACGTGGCTCACCATCTTGGCTGAGACCACTGGATGACAGTGGGATACCAGCACTGAAAAATAACCACCTCAGAGTAAGTTTGCCGAAGAGGCATCCTGCCTAAGGAAAGCACACAACCTGGGCTCAGGGAAGGCAGCTGAAGCCATGCACCGTGGTGAAGCCCTTTCTTACTTCAAGGATGCACCGCTTCAGCCTTAACTTTCCCAAATGCCTTTGCCATTAGAGCACTCTATCAAGATGTACCACGAGATCCGGAAAAAAAGTGTACTGTCCTGCAAATAAGGCTCAAATAGAAACTCTCCTGCCCACAGAGGATGGGCACAGGCTAGAAAGCCACGAGGTCTGCTGCTGCCGCTGGTGCTCTCCCCTGAATTTGGTCACCAAATCCACTGCAGGCTTCTGCCTCTGAAGGACCTGTTTGACGGACACGGGAAGCCTCCCTCCGGGTTTCCATCACCTCTGCCATTGAAATTAAACACTGCTGCTGTGTACTAAAAGCTGGAGAGGGAAACTGTAGGCTTTTACGTTTATGTTTTCTGCTCCCTTCGCTTTGTTTGCAGGACACAGAATGGAAAGCAAGAAGAAATAACAGACATATTACAGGAATCACCAACGTACATGTAATAACAGTAAAAGACAAGCTTGTGCCACCAAAAAGCCTCTTCTTCTTTAATAATCATTACTTACACCACTAGACTGTATTTTGATATTATGCGGTATGCCCTATATTTCAGCTGCTGTTGGGACTAAAATAAATTACATAAAGAATTCATACGTCTGGGAGCCTTGGCTCAGACCCTACCCCATTAGTTACACTAACCTGATCTGTGGGTGTGTAGTCATCCATGCTGACACTGTCAATTCTTTCTAAAAAGCTGGAAGAAAAACAAACATGCACTTAGATACGCAAAATACTGTCTGATGTAACACTTCTCACTACCTTTTCTGGTTCAGACTCCAGCTGCAAAGTAAAACACAAGTCCAATGGTGAAGGTATGAGCCCGATGATTTACTTACAGTGACTGAGGTTACATTTTCTGAGACAAACAACTTTTTAACCAGACTTTGCTTCAATACAGTGCTTCTACACTTACCGCTCTGGAGTAGCCACAAGCAGTCCAAATGCAGTTAAATGTTATAATTTTGTGAGGTCCACTAAAAAATACTAAGACTAACCATGTGTCATAACATTATGTGGTTGTTTAGACTTAAAAAAGATTTTGGGGTTTAAAAAAGAAAATGGGACGAAGAGTAGCCTTACTTAGCATAACTCTTAGCTAGCATACTGTTATGTTAATTACAGTCTCAGTAACGCTAGCAGAAATGCTCGTTAATATATACAAACAGCTCTGGACTGACATGCTGCCCCTGAAGACTGCAACTACAGCGTAAGATGCAGAAAGCAACAGTGACATGAAGCGGAGGTTAACCAGTCCGATGCTTTGTGTCGCCAAACTCAGTGAGACGCATAAAGTGAAACACAAACTTACAATCGTAGGGAAGGGCAAGAGAAAAGGAAAGCAGAAAAAAAGGGGAAATCACATTCTCCAATTATATAAAAAAAGTTTTCAAGCTTTAATTCTTTCCTAGAACATGTTAGAATAGCAGTATTAAGGACATAAAAACGTGATTTTATGCATATAGCTAAGATAGGCGGGTTCTCCTCTCTCACTTTCACCCATTTCTTAGATTTCGTGTGAGCTCAGCTGGCTCATTTTCCCCAGACTGCCTGTACGACTCAGCAGCTTTCCTGAATGTCTGCACTGTTATTTGGTATTTGGCAGTGAATATCCCACCGGCTGGACTCATCCTGCTAGAACATTATCAAGATTTCTTGTTCAACTGTCAAGTTTCTCCCAATTTTACTTGGGTGTGCATGTGGAATCTACTTAATTGCAGTGGGAAAGACAAAAAACCAGCGAACTCTTGACTTACAGTGTGACTCACTGTTAACACAGGGGTCACACACACTGACCAGTTGAAAAAAATACCTCCCTAAAAGCCTGTTTGTAATTCTCATAGCACTTTCCCACGGATACAAACTGAAAGGAAAAGAAAATACGCTATGTATATATTTACGTATATTCTTTCTCCTTTTTGAACGTCCATTGTTGTAACAATGCAGTATGTACAGTTAGAATACCCAGCTTTTCTTTCTGGATGATCAAGATGTGATGGTTAAGCATACTGTTTAAAAAAATCACTCTGTAGGGCAACACGATGGGTGTCGGATAACAAAACTATACCGAACAAAGTCTAAAAAAAAAAAATCATCTTTTTACAAAACCTCCTCCCCTGCCAAAAGCCACCATAAACTTATATAAAGATATAAAAGTATGCCTTTATAGTGAGCTACAGTCATCATGAGAAGGTAGCTGTATTCAGACTGAACCTTTTGCTCGGATGATTTTCACCACCTTGAGAATATTGATTAAGCAAAGTGTAACTTCAGTTACCCCCGCAGTTAATGCAGACACTGGAGCAGAGCGATGTATTTTTAACTGGCACACTTATCATTAACACAACTCTCATCTCACGCTTGCAGCACACGAGATGAAAAAAGAAGGGAAAAAAGTCCCAACCAAAAACGCCTCCAAGCTGAATCTCTTCCGAAACAGAGAGTAATCTTCCTTAATATGGCTGTTCAGGCAGCACTCCTGTATTTCCAAGTCCGTTTCAAAAGTTTTCTCTCCAGTTCCTTAATAGTTTGATCCGATGGGCCTGGAAACAGCCACTTTTCATCATGGTAAAAGGTGAGCAGAGGGGTAAATCCAGGCCTCTGAGCACAGGTGGGTGGCAGGCCGGCAGGTTAAACATCCCTGCGGAAAAGGGGCAGGAGCCCAACGGAGAAGCCAGCAAACGGCTGTGGGCAGCGCAATCGCTTTCACAGCTTGAGATCAATGAATGCCCCAGGAGGTGGGGGAGAAAACCCTCCTCAGCTACGGCTGACGCAAAAAGGGCTCTGGGTAGGAGCACGGACAGAAGCCAGTATTTCTGCACAGATACGACTCCATCATAAACCTCCTCACAAGACAGTGTGAATCGGTGTTTTTCTTGCAGAAGTGTTCCTTCAGGAGTTGACGTGTAAATCAGAAATCATACCGCTTGTCTCCCCAATACCGAGGTCATGTTGGCACAATTTATTTGAAATGATTAAACATGGCATTTAGTATCAGTTCACACCTCTCCCACCTGTAAAACAAGCACTTCAGGAAGGTTATTGGTTGCTAGCATTTGCATTTTTTCCAAACAGGCAAATTATGGTAAGAAACAGAGAAGTGAGTAACACAGAGTTACACTACAGATAATCCATGGCAGGGTTGGGAACGCGGTCAGTCTCCTAATTAGATGTCCTACGTATCGGCCCAAGTCGTCTTCCATTTAGAAATCGTCAGCCTCCTCCCAGAAAAAGGGTCCGTTTCAAATACCCTGAACTGCAGCACTGCAGTAAAGAGAGAGGGAGCTCTGACAAATAGCATGCGCTTAAAAAAATACCCCTTGACATAGCAGCCATAACACTTTCTGCTTGCAAGGCTGCTGGCCACACGCAATCTGTATTAAAACAAATGCACTGAGTTACAAGGTTTTACCTGCCACCTCGCTGTGTCAAGCTGCAATATCACTAGCATCCCATAATCAACATGCAACTACTATGAGGATCTGGCTAAATTTCATAGCTTTGCAGAAAATTAACCTTTTCCGTGTGTGACAGACCAGCTTCCCAAGATTTCTTTTGCAACTACATTCAATGTGCACTGAGATTTCTAGACACTGAAACACAAAAAGCTATGGTCTTACTTTTTCGAAAGAAAATCAGTTCTTGAATATCCTTCGTATCTTACTTGGTTAATTAGCACAGTATCAAAAAATAGATCTGACAGGCAAATGTACATAGTAGGTACAAGTAATGGATTCCAAATGAGATAAGGAGGCAGTGCTGCCTCATTACTAAATATGCTAATTTTATTCTCATTACCGTATTAAAATGGGAAAACTGGAATCCCTTTTCTAAATTGCTTTCTAAAGAATGTTAATTTCTACTAATCCTAAATGCCTCTAATAATTATGTTCTGGTATAATAAGTATTCTTTTATACATATATATATATACATGTGAGCAAATTTTAAATTTACATGACTAAAATTTCAACTTAAAGTGCTTAAAGTACGAAGATACCTCCCATCTGTGGCAACGCTCATGATTCCACTCAAAGAATCAGTGTGAGAAAAACACAATAGCAAAAAAATGAGTAAAAATGGACACCAGTATCACTTATTCTTTCTTTTTAGATCTTGTTTTTTTCAGCTCAGGGATAAAATTATTTTCACAGAATTACACCTTTTTACAATAGTGACGGGTCTTCTATTTATGCAGCTTCTATAGAAACCCATACTCAGGATTTATGTTAATTCTGCAGTGACTACTTTGCATGCACGTGCAATGAACTTTGGACTCACGCATTCAACTCAACTGCAAAAAAACGTGTAACATATAATATTTCTATTTCTACTTCACAATTGTGTTTTATTTATAAACGATTCAGTCTGATAATTAGTATGACATTTAGATTCTTCTTAATTTTACAGTAGGGCGTTTTACATTTCCTTACATGGAATAGCACAAACTACTTTTTTTTTTTTTGAAATAAATTAGCCAAGATATTGGAAGAAAGGTCTTCACTGCTCTGTTTGCGAATGCAGTAGTTTGGCTTGCCAACAAATTAAAGCAAAGAAAAATGGACTGGTAAAGTTAAAAAAACCAATCACGAGCTACTGACATTATTGTATCTATTATTAAGCTGATCTGTAGTTTTATAAATATCTTCACTGAGTCTCCTAGGAAACTCAGCTGACACTTAGTTTGACAAGCAATCTCTAAATTTTATATTATGCAAGCTGTGAACACAAAAGTACAGGTTTTAGATGTGCTTGCCAGTGCATGTGGGAACTATCAATAAGCATTATTCTCTTTAAAAACCATGGCAATTTGAGCAGCAGTAGCAGCTATACAGAATTTCTGAAAAAAGGATTCATAAATGCACAAATAAAGACGAGGTAATCATACACGAAAATCCTTTTCTCGCTGGGTAAATCGCTACACGGCTCTGTATAGATATTCTGACCCCCACAAACAAAATCACAATTAAAAAAAAATCATGTCTTAATACGACAAACATAAAACCCATGCTATATCTGTAAGTGTATTTTGATATCCAAAGAATCGGAAAGATGAAGTGCTAAACCACAGATCAATACGACACACTACATACTTTAATAAATCTGTGTCTACTTCAAACATTTTTTATGCTCTCACCCCAACGTTCCAAAGGCTTTGTATCAAAAAGTTGCTGTGGAAAACAAGAAATAAAACCCATGTCAAAATGCTTGTCTCTTTAAAAGAAAAAGAAAAAGGTAATATGGCAAATCCTTAAGGCTGTAGCTTTAAGTTCTCAGAGTGAAGAGTCTGAAATTTATCCTCAAGTAAGTTGTTGGGGTCAGCAAACCTCTACATTTTTGACGGACCGTTGAAAGCTTTGCAAACTCCCCAGCCAGGCTCAATAACCTGCAGAAGCACCATAACCTACGATATGAAACCATCCAGGACCAGGACTTTGAATTCCACGCTCTCTGGATTGCAGTCAGTCACAGGTGAGGCAGACATTTCACAATGAGAACACCCACCCCAGGTCTCTAGGGAGCCAAAATGGAAAAAATACCTTTTTTTTCCCCCCTCATTGCAGTTATCAGGGACAACATCAAGATTTGAATATTTTTTTCTTCCCCTCCTTTCTTTCCTTCCATAAAGTTTTTTTTTTTTTTTTAAATCAGCTAAGGGATTACAATCCTGTTCATTCTTCCTGCAATATTTGAAATAG